GAGAACTTAGTTTAGTACTCACATGCTGTAACAGCCGCTTTCTGTGCGTGTGCTTCGGATGTGTGCTCTCAGAAAACCGTATATCAGAAATTTAAACTAATATTGTTTAAAACGCATGATAAACATGATAATCAGAACCAAAATAGATGTTTTTAGCAGGTAGAGCTGTAATGGCCCTGTTCTATTCTGGAAAAGGAGGCGGGGAGCAGCAGCTCATTTGCATTTAAAGAGACAGGCCCGAAAAACAGCGTGTTTCTGCTTCCACTCAAAATAGGCATTTTCAAAATTATATAATAAATTATCTGTGGAGTATTTTGAGCTGAAACTTCACAGACGCATTCTGGGGACACCAGAGACTTATATTACGTATTGTAAAAAAGGGCAAAATATGTCTCCTTTAATTGATTATTATTTTAAAAGGTTTTAATTTTGTTGACAGACAAACATGAATCATGATACAGTCTAATTTGATTATTAGCACTGCATGTTAAAATTAATAAAACATGACACTGGAGCAGATACTACAAGCTCACGGTTTCAGAACAGTTTGATATCAATGTATACCACATTTTTTTGAGAAGTGATTTCTTATGATTTACTGGTGATGAAAAAAGTACTGCAGGAGTGATGTATTTTTGTAGACCAAAACCTGTAAATGAGATTTAGCCCATCCTGTTCCATTGTTAAAAGGTCAATGGTTTTTTTTGGATAAATTCCTAAAATAACTTCTGTTAATGTAAGCTCAGGATATTTTTGTTTTATTCTGCGACATCAAATACCCAATCACCTTGGGTTTTTTAAAATGTTTTATTTGTCTTGAAAAAGGAGGTTGCTAACAAGAGGCTAAATGGGACTTCAGAGGCTGTCTGGGACATTAAACATCACGCTGATTTGCTGAACAGGAAAACTCATTTACTCACCAGTCCACTTTCACAGCCTCATTGTGTTTTTAATTGCACTCTTATGACCACCAGCATAGTCAGGGACACCAAAACAAGCCACTTCACTCTGGCCCTGCAGGTGAAGCCTATGCAGGTGTACACTGATGATGGTAATGCATTTAATTCAAAACAAAGTTCATGCATTAAGAATGCAATCCATCTGTTCTTATTCCTGATCCTCAGCTGGGCGTTCCTCACTCCTACCTGATGATGAGCTATCAGTACAAATTCCAGGATGAAGACCAGACTAAGGTCAAAGGTTCCATCAAGTATGTATTTTAACTGCAGCTTACAATAGAGATGGGCAGTCTATATACATTACCGTTCAAAGTGTGTTAAATTATAATGTTTTTGGAAAGAAGTCTCTTATGCTCATCTGTTCTTTTACTGAACTAAATTTTTATTACTATAAAAAAAATCAAAACGACGGTGGGGGTCGGTGCGGCGGTGGGCAAGTGACGTAACCGGTGTTGCGGCTTAACAACGGTATCACCGTCTATCGTGGCAAGTCCAGTGTTGTTTTGGACCCGAATTACTTTTATTTCATTGTTTTTGTCCATACATTCTTCAAAATATCTTAACGATCTGTTCCACAATCTGTCATACAGGTCTGGAGCAACAAGAGAGTGAGTAAATTAAGACAGAATGCTTTATTTTTGGGTCAACTATCCTTTCAATACTGTGTAAAGTATACAGGGAACCTTCTAACTTGGTTTATTATGAAAATGTTCATTTTAAAAATTAACAACAGGGCACAAACTACGCTGTTGATTCATAATTATTACATTTATGTATTTGGCACTTGTTATAGGGTCCCCACAGGTCCATAAAAATTCTTAAAATGCCTTAAATTTGGGTTTATCTAATTTAAGGCCATAGAAAAGGTGTAACAAAAGTCTTATCTTGTCTCTTTTAAAAGGTTTTACGTATAAACTTAATTACAATCCTTTCTAATGTGATTATTAAACTTCAAAAGGGTTGCGCAGAAATAAAATATTAGTTAAAACATTAATTATAAAATGTAAATATTATAAATTGTAATTATGATGGGTTGTGCAAAAATATAAAATATTAGTTAAAACATTAATTATAATTATAAAATATATTATAAATTATAATTAATTATATAGATTTTCTGTTATCAGCACAATAATCCATTTATTGCCTTTATTTAAACATGTTATTACCATGAGCAAAATTCAATGTTGATCAACCTCTAATTCATAAGTATTGGTTTATATTTATATGAACCAATTTTAGTACATACTGTATATAAATATTGAATAAAACATGTCTTGAGTATTTTAAACTTGCAGTTACCCTGTTTTGCAGTTGTGAATGTGTGTCCTAGCATGTTTAAGTAAAATAATTTGAGATACATGTAGGGACATACAGTATGGTTTTCAGTGCATATGCAGTTCTTAAAGTGCCTTGAATTTGATTTTAAAAACCAGTCCCTCCAGGATTTCACGGTACTTTTGTTTCAGATTTTTGCGGCCTAAAATGACTGATTTTGCTGCAGCTTTTCTCAATTTGCAGTGAAAATATACCACAGACAACATTCTTCTAACATTGTTATGACTTTTCTGACTTCGAGAACCATTGTAGGGCTCCAGACTAACATTTGAGGACACCAGCACCAGTGCCATTAAGTTCTACAGAAGGTGGCACCGGCACCTGACAGTAAAGCACTCACCCTAATCGCACATGTACTCAATCTCGGAGATGTCTATTTGATGTCTGTAGCAGATGTCTTACAGATGTACTTGTGCTGTCTGGGTAGTTGAGAAGATGCAGATAGAATTACCTTTTATTACCGTCATTCATGTCTAAATATAATTTAATAAATACATATATATATATATATATATATATATTAGGGAGTGGAAATGGCCAATAAGCCTATAAGTACTTCTCTGCAGCCATCTACTAGTGGTAATTTAATGTCTTATTTTTTTTTTTAATAAGTGTTTGCTTTCCTACATCATGAAACTTTTAGTTTTATAAATGGGGGCAACCTATGAAGGATGAACAAATAATATCATCACATTTAAAATAACTTTCAAATTCAGTAATACTTAAAGCTTTGAAGTGCTGGGAAAAGTTGTCATGCATTTAAAAACACTCGAAAACATTAGACCATTTCTGCCACAAGTTCTTCCTGTAGTTTTAGTATGTAAAATCCATGGTGAATGGTGGTGAATTGTGTTTATTGAACAATGTTTTTCCTGGTTTCCACAGCCTATAAGTACTTCTCTGCAGCCATCTACTAGTGGTAATTTAATGTCTTATTTTTTTTTAAATAAGTGTTTGCTTTCCTACATCATGAAACTTTTAGTTTTATAAATGGGGGCAACCTATGAAGGATGAACAAATAATATCATCACATTTAAAATAACTTTCAAATTCGGTAATACTTAAAGCTTTGAAGTGCTGGGAAAAGTTGTCATGCATTTAAAAACACTCGAAAACATTAGACCATTTCTGCCACAAGTTCTTCCTGTAGTTTTAGTATGTAAAATCCATGGTGAATGGTGGTGAATTGTGTTTATTGAACAATGTTTTTCCTGGTTTCCACATCAGTGGCGTTTGTTCTGATATCTGTAGCTTTAACAGAATTCTGCCGCAAATTTGAATGCTTCTCACAAGATTTCACAGAGATATTATTGATTCTGCGATGAATTCGACTGCTTTCTTCACTGTATCTCCCAGCGCTATGTATAACTAGTAGCGCGGATTCGTTCTGCTTTCGGTTCACTTGTAAATCGGTCATGATGAGAATGCAAGGCTGTTCATTCCATTTTTGGAACCGAGAACAACCTTTCTTAGACTGAATGCGTGTTGCGATGTCACGGGACGCGTCTAAGCCCAAAATCTGCGGCAATTAAGAAAATTTGCGAGCTCTTGTGAAAATTGCGGAGTTTGCTTGATTTTGCATTAAATTCAGCGATCGCAGAATCGCAAAATCCTGGAGGGACTGAATATTGTGAAGTATTATTACAATTTTAAAATATGTTTTGTTAAAAATAAAAAATGTTTTCTGTTAAAATATGTTTTAATGTAATTTATTCCTGTGATGCAAAGCACATTTTTTCTTAAGTCTTCAGTGTCACATGATCCTTCAGAAATCATCCTAATATGCTGATTTGCTGCTCAAGAAACATTTCTTATTATTATTAATGTTGAAAATATATATTTCTAATGATAGGATCATAATTTTTGGCTAGTAGATTCATGTTTAAAGCAAGAAAATAGTAAAAATTTAGACACTGTTTTTCAGTAAATTATAAGCAACATTTAATCTCTATGCACCAATAAAATAATGCAAAATAATAAACAACAATATCTACCTTATATATATATATATATATAACAAAACGTTTAGAAGCATGTAAAATACAACAAACACTTTTGAATGGTTGTGCGATCCAATTGTTGAATGTGTTGAAACAGACAAGTACTTTAAAATCACAGCAAAGTTTGTTTAATAAAAAAAAAGTAAATATTCAATTTTGTTTGTTCGTCTACCCTGACAGCTCATTGTCTTTGTATTCAACAGGACTGGGTTCTTTGGCACCTTGGTTGAATATGGTGCAGAGCGCAAGATTAGTCGCCACAGTGTTGTGGCTGCAACCGTCAGCATTGGTGTACCCCAAGGAGTCTCCCTCAAAATCAGGTTAGCACTGACTTGAGCTTAACCGCAATAAGCACAGCGCAGCAGAACTCAGGCTGCTCGCGGATGGTCCATTTATGATGGTCATTTTCTTCTCTCTACAGGTTGAACAGAGCCAGCCAAACCTACCTCTTCCCTATTCACCTAACCGACCAGATTTTACCCAGTGCTGTGTTTTATGCCACTGTGGGCCCGCTGGCCATCTACTTAGCTGTTCAGAAGCTTATTATTATGCCTTATGTACGAGCCCAGAAGGAACAGTGAGTTATTATCCATAATTATGGCTCTGAAACCACCCGTTTTGCTGAAACCCATCTTTACATTACCACAGTTTCTTTGATGAAGGGCCCTGACTGTTTGGTTGTTTATAGGGAGTTGGAGAAACAGAAGGAGGTTTCTGCTTCAGAAATTGCTCGCAGGAAGCAAGAGGCTGAAGCTGCTGTGAGTAAAATAAATACATAGACAACAATGACTATTACCAACACAAACAACCATTTATCAGGGTAGATGTTTTCTTGTTACTGTTTCTTTGGTTTTCAGGTTTTGCTGATGCAAGAGTCAGTGAAGAGAATTATTGATGCTGAGGAATCTAAAATGGGTTTGTGAAATGCAGATGCACTTTTTTATACATATATACTCTTTGGACAGCATCTGTGATATACTGGCAATTATCACCATTCCATTCATTTTAAAAACAAACAAAAATAGCTTCTTACACAGTAATTGAAGTATATAAATAAGTATAGCCATAAAACTTTAAATATATAACCAAGCACTTTTTTTCCTCAAAAACTGAAAAAAGTCTTCAATTTTGTTTAAAACAAAAAACTAAAATCAAATCACAAAAATGGGAAATTCATTGGTCAATAAGTACAGGAACCATGGTATTCTTACTGCTAAACTTCACAGATCAAAAAAATACTTTTGTTTGTCAGAAATTAACAAAAGTTGTACATTTTGGGTTTTAAATCCTCTGGACCACTTCCTACTGAATGTGCATTACTGTGAACAATTTTTTTTTTCCCAATTGAGTGGAAATACTGATGGTAGTCAGCAGCCGGTTACACTTTGCTGTCAGTAACATGGAACATTTCTTTAAGTGAACAATGTTTTATGTGATTCATGTTTTTATTCTAGGTCTCATCATTCTAAATGCTTGGTATGGCAAATTTGTGTCCGACAATAGTCAGAAACACGAGAGTGCGAAGGTCATTGATGTAACCGTCCCGCTCCAGTGCTTAGTGAAAGACTCCAAACTCATTCTTACTGAAGCATCAAAGGTTAGACACGCAAACATCTACCAGTGCTTTACATCAATGAGCTGCTTAAACACCTGCCAGGTGCTTTACATGAATTAGTGCCGTCTCATGTCAATCAGGCTGGCTTGCCAGGGTTTTATGACCCCTGTGTCGGAGAGGAAAAGAGCCTAAAGCTGCTGTACCAATTCAGAGGAGCCATGCACCAAGTCTTGTCCGGAGACACAGAGCCTCTTAAGATACCCAAACAATGTGAGTACCGCGGAGACAAGCTGGGAATGTTGCTTGGCAATAAAAAAGGCAAAACAAAATATATTTACATATTTTGTACCAATATATTTTTTGGCCATTTTTAATATTTTTTTTTTTACTATTTATAAAGTATTTAAATTATATATTTTGCCCTCCTTATATGTCAAGAAAATACATTCACATGTCATATTTGAAGAAACACTGGACATAAAACAGATGCTAGTACTGTTCTATCCACATTTGCCTCTAAATACTTTGGTATATAAAGGCTGAAACTAAATGTATTTTCAAATATATATATACACACACATACACACACACCACAACAACAACAACAACATTTTACATACATAAAAAAAAAATAATAATAATAATAGGCCAGAAAATGTTTATTTTATAATTTGTCATGGGTCAAAAAGACAGTTAATTCAAATATGATCTAAGGAAAGTCTTTTTTTTTTTTTTTTTTTTCCCCATTCAGGTCATAGAATTGATTCAGAGGCATAGGAGTCTACCACACACTGGAAGAAAGAGCTCAATTGACATCAAGCGATCCGAAGGGCTGCTCCTCTTCATTTCATGTAGTCACCCATGTATCACCTTTGTGTTATCCGTTTATCTCAAATCCCTGACATATATCGTCAATGGGTCGATCACGTCCGAACATCTCCTTAAGATCTGGATGTGAGAGGAGGTCAGATGTCATATCATATCACTCCATCCATTAATCTTAATCAATGTTAATACTACAACTGGAAAGTATGGCAATAAAAGCTCCTAACAAAACTGTACTTGAAAAGTATGGTTCAAACTGTAATGAAGTGCTGTACAACTGCTGGTTTCATAGGATGTGTTGATATCGACGGATGTTTTCGTATGTTTGTACACTAGGCTTAAGAACGGGAAATCTTATGCTCACCCTGCCTCCAAAATCACGAATGTAGAAGCTGCTTTTTAGTAGACCAATCTGTTGTGACCAGAAGATCATGATTTCATTTTCCTCTGGGAGAAGTGTTATTTGGATTGCATTCATCACGTTAAGAATATACAGTAAAGTACGGTTTTTGTATTTTAAGGTGAATCTCAAAAGAAATGTTTGGGTCATATTTTGCCTGAGAACGAAAAAAAGAAAAAGTGAATTTATTAAACCACTTTGCCTATTTTAGCACAATCAGGATTTTTTGGCATTTTTAATGACAATTGAGCATATATATATATATATATATATATATATATATAAACATTCAAGAAAAATATTCAGTTCTATGACATGAAAATAAAAAAAAAATGCATTAAATTGATTTAAAATGTGCATCAATGATCATGATATATTGTAGCTTACTGACAATGAGGAAAAGGTTTAAACATACTTCCAAGAAAACTTGAAAAATAGGCAAAAAAATTCTCATGCAAACCTTTTTTATGGGATTCACCTTCAGTCTGTAGTCAAGCCCCAGCAAAGATAGTTGTACAGTATATTCTCCAAATTTAAAATCCTTAATGAAGTCAGCAGTATTACATAGTCAGAGGTCCAGTGAATCGGAAAAAGGACAGGCTGCTGTTTTTGTTTAGCTTGTCGTTCTTGGCATCTGGATGTTTGCTTTGATGGCAACTTTCTCCTGCTCAGTTTTCTTAAGTTTGAATGACTTGAAATGTCAGCAGCAGTGCTCAGACTGAACCAGTGTAAAACTGCAATGCCTTTTGGGTACTGAATAAGGGGGTTAAGCAGAGTATGAAAGCTCTATGTTCAGAAAACATGATTTTATTTAAAGATCCATTATTTCAAATGATCCTAAAAAGTACCCACCAAAGCATTGTGCCATGCCCCATTTGGTTTTGAATTGTTTTATTAGTGCTTGTCAGTAAGTGGGCAGTGCCTACGTGATTGGAGTCTGTAATAGATGTTTATTTGTAACCGTCTTGCAGTTGTACCTTTCATCGGGGCTATAAGGGGGGGAGTATCAATTTGCATTTAAACAGCAAATTAATTTTTGTTGTTGGAGTATCAACAATAATCTTCGCATTTAGTATAGTCCAGCACAGTCTGAACCGCCCAGAATCCTTGGTCAGTGTTAAATACATGAACTGTCCCTTAATAAATGAAATCATCATTTAAAAACTGCATTTTGTATTTACTTGCATTATCTTTGCGTAATACTAAAATTGGTTTGATGATCGGAATCTTTTAAGTGACTAATATGCAAAAAATTCAAACAACAGGAAGGGGGCAAAAACCTTTTCACGGCACTGTATATATATGAAACAAGAACTTTATGACTCTTAAATTGTCATTAAAATCAACATCTCTTTATTTACAACAGTTTACATGAAGTTTCACAGAAACATCTCTCTTTCTTTTCATTGGACTCACTGTAACAGTGCGAGCTCAAACTTTAGCAGTTCTTCTTGCACACAAACAGCCCTGAAATATCAGCCATAGTACATAAACACATGATTGTACAAAAAATGTCCCTTGATAAATGTTTGAAGAAGAAGAGGAAGAAGAAGAAAGCATCAACATAAGCTATTCAATTTACAAGTACCACTTTTTTCCACAAAACAATGAAAAGCTAGCTTGTTCAATCTAGGCCTACAAATGACACCTTTCCAACAATGTTTTCAAAGTAAGAGTTTAAAAGGATATCCAATTTTAATGTGCATTAAAACTAAAAAAATTTAAATCATTGTGGAGACTGTCCACTGACTCATCAGAAAAAAAGACCAGGCCAGTATCAAAAATTATCAAGTTATTTTTATGAACTATCAGCATGATTGGTCTTATATATATGGACCAAATTTGTATGGTTTAATCAAAAAAAAAAAAAAAAAAAGGGATTTATGGTCAAGCATGCAGAGTAGTGAAAGTGGACCGCTAACATAAAATATTCATATTAAATGTGCCAATTAATGTATCTTCTCTGCAGTGTTTATCTCATCTAGAAGAACAGTACATTCTGAAGATGAAAACCAACTCGCATGAGATAAAAAAAAAAAAAATGTCTTCAAGAAACAAACCTATGCTTTTTGTGATGGGAGTGGACCAGCTAATAGAACACAATCACACATTTTTATCAGAGCATGCCTATGAACATGAAAACAGACTCATCGATTAAGAATTACACCCTTATGAATGATTCCTCCGAATACAAGCTCCGCCAGCAAGTTCTGAAAACCCAAGATTTGTAGACCAGATAATAGCAGTTCAGTGTTTTGAATGTAAATATGACTACTACTAAGTAAGCCATGGCATTTCAGCAGATGCAGGCAAAAATGTTCTTCCCTTTGGCAATACAGAGTATCTCACAAAACCTGACAAGAACATGCCAAAGTGATATTGTTCCACAAAATGTGCATTATTACTATTTTCCCAAGAAAATGAAAAGCTAAATTCTTTCAGAAATGACAATATAAATAGAATCACCACAGAGAATAATGGGGAATATATATATAACTTATGGGGTAAAATGTGCCCTGGATATGTTTTTGTGAGATTCTGAGATTCACCCAGTAAGGATATCCATCCCTTCCCTAACCTGTAATGACTCACATAATTTACATATTAAACATCTTCTTGGAGAAAAAAAAAAAAATCTATATATCATCCTGTTTAGTAAAACATTACAACATGCAAACAAAAAGTTTCTTGTTCAATGAAGGGCAGAAAATGCAGAAATTATCAAAAAATAGAAATGACAGTCTCTTACCACCAATTTGTTGCCAAAAATTAAAAATAATAATCAAGAAATACCACAATGTAGCAAGAACCGTTTCTGATGTTTCACTCCAAATCATCAGTGACTGCTGATGAAAACACGTTCAACATTATCCAACAAACAGAACTCTTTCCCTCACACATTTGGGGGTCTCAGAAAAGATCCACACAAAATGATGAGTCTAAACACCTTGAACACTAATATCTTATGGTTATTTCATATAATATGCACACTTTGACTAATAGACATACTTTTGAAAGCTATGGGTACAAAGGGGAATCTCTAGCTACCCCTTTGTTCTTAAAAAAGTGCAATCCGACACCCCAGTCCCTTCTTTCCAGCACAACTCCGAATGTGTCGAACCTTCAGCTGTGTACCATCACAACTGCAACTGTCCGTCTGTCCGGCAGAAATCTGCTCCAGTTAATGCATCATCCTAGTATTGATTGATTGACGCAAACATTTAGGAAGGTGAGAAATATTAAAAACACAAACAAAAAAAAGTGATGCAAGCAGGTCACTGATCCCTCCCTCTTCCGAACTCATTGAGTCTCGTCATCAAGACGACAATTTTACGAGTTTCTGTACATGTGGATGGGCAGAAGGAGAAGAGCGGCATCAGTCGAGAAGGTGTTTTCGAGAGCCCACTCTTGAGCGATTGGAGCGGCGAATGTCAAACTTTGTGTCTTTGCAGCTCTGGCAGATGTACGTCTCAGGGACGTTGGACTTGCGGATTTTGGCACAAGAGAGGTGGATCCAGGTGTTGCACTGGTTGCATTCGATCATTGCCCGCCCGGCGAACGGCTTCATGCAGAAACATGTCACTAGGTCCCAGGAGTCATCATCTGCAAAGAGAAAGATGGTAAATGTAAAGATATATGAATACAATTGTAATCAACTTTTGACAATGGCAGACTCCAAAAGGAAAGACTTCAAGCGAAGAACAAACTGAGGTGACGTAATTTCGAACAAAATGGAGTTCGTTTGGAGTCAGAATCTATGGAAGATTGTTTCCGCCACAGGATAAATAAATATATATATATATAAATAAAATAAAAAAGGTAGTTGCGACTTTTTAACTTTATTTATTTATTCATTTTTATAATTCAAGAAATAAAACTGAACTGTGAGATGGCAACACGCAATTGCATTGTTTATAACTCGCAATTCTGAGAAAAAAGTTATAAACTCGAGATTATAAACTCATAATTGTGTGAAATTACTTTTTTTTTTTTTTTTAATTCATGGCAGAAACAAGCTTCCATCCAAAACAGCTTGCCAAATGGAACTTTCCAAAAAAGTTCGCTCCGGCTGGTAAACACCTTCAAACTACCACTCCAGGTTGAAAACGAAACTTCGTGTTGAAGTTATCAGGGCCTGAAACGTCCTGCTTACCTGAATCCACCATGATGTCCTCATCATCCTCCGATCCATCCTCATCTCTAAACACCACCTGTTTCCCCTGACGGACCACAGTCCTTTTACCAGAAAAACCTTCAGAGACTACTGCCTCTTCTTGAGTTTGTAAGGGTTTCTCGACATCCTCCGACTTTGGACTTGAACTTTTAGAACCGTTCCAGCAAGGACGGCCCACATCAGGCTCCTCTTTGCATATTGCGGTGGCCAGTGAACCCGAGGCAGGTTTTGAACACGTGCCAGTGTGCTTTGGCAGGTCTCCACCTATGCCGGCGGTGGGTACGGGGATGCTGAGGTAATCTTCCGGTTCTTCTTTGATGGTACACCCATAACTGGAGATCTCACCTTCGGCACTGGGAGGAGTAAATGGGGCGAAAGATCTCAATTCCTCATTCTTACTCGTTCTCAGCTTCTTCTTCTTCTTTTTCACCTTGTCGGCCTTCGTTCGACCCTCCAGCAGAAGACCTGCTGATTTCGGACGCTTCTGAGGCTCTGAATCCTCGCTCGTGGGTCTTTTGAATCCAGTGAAGCTCTTGCGGTTTTTTGGAGGAGGCTCGTCCAGAGACAAGAGGCCGCAGCCCAGCCTCTGGTTCTCCCATCCGTCGCTGTCTGCAGTGCTGCCGGTGCTGTTTAGAGGACTAGAGCTGCTCCTCAAGTGCGCCTCCTGTGGAGAGCGATTGAAAACACTCATTTAACCACTATTTTACTGAATTTCTTGAATTACGACATCGGTCTGAAGTCTGAAGATGAACAAACAGTGACCGAATAACTTCACTGCATGTTTCAAGAAGATTTATGATGAAATTAATAAACAGAAAATCATCCACATCCACGAATCCTGCTGGTTATGGTGTAATATTTATAATGACAAGAAATGCAGACCACACTGGTGCAAGATGAAAATGCCTACTTGCATTAAATAAAGATCTCTACTAGCTGGAACATTTCACATTTGGCAGTATGAGAAAGGCTAAATACAAAATATAGTTCCTCGCGCACCTGAATCATTCATAGGTGCATGGAATAAAAGTTCAGTATAAACTTGAAAATATGTCTAAATCCCGCACACTACTCACACTTGCATCATTATGAAATTTTATTACAAACATTTCAGTCAAGTCTGAGGTAGGTGAACTGACTGTAATATTGCTAATAATGATGCAAGTTCAGCAGTGCTGGATTTAGATATTTTTTGAGTATGATAAAGGCCAAAATGTAAGAACATGCAATCATGAAAATTTCCAGCCAATTTCTTTGATTAGATCAATGACCAGTTCAGTGACAAGAAGCACTAAGCACCAAACAATTACCTGAATCACCAAGTAAAACACAGGATTACCAATACTTAAAGAACATGAACACCAGCACAAAGTGACTATTACAAACCAGGGTAAGAGAAGCAAAGTGCCAAGCAAAGCTCTTGTAGAGTCACTCCTAAAATTAAGAGCTACCACCTAAGAGAAACAAATTACTGGTCCTCAGAAACGCAAGCGTCTGCACAATGAACCCGCACTCTGTAAAAATAAGGCACACAAATGTCAGGTTTATGAACTTCCGCTGTATGTTGTTCAGAGAACTCAAAACCTCCCCCTCATTTTGCTGCCAAACCGTAATCAGCTTTCTTAGTCACGACTAACGAGCTCAGAAGCACATGGATCCCACATCAATGGTGGATTATTTTGGTGCATTTCTCACAGGTCTATCTCTGTCTACCCTTACTTTTGTTTATACCCTCATTTACTGTTTGTTTCTTAGTTATTAAAGCCATCATTATTCATGCGCTATGAAGGGCTATGTCTCCTCTGTGCTCAGTAGCCTGCGGAAACAAAGCAAGTAGTAAGCAAATAAATAATAATGTGAGACTGAATTAGAGGAATTAGATAATCAAATTATCTTTCTGAAAACATCTAAATACGCTGAAAGGAGGTGAAAACACATTATGAAAGCACTAGCTGTTCCAAAACATAGTGAGCTGCCTACCTAGACATCATTTTAGACAACAGGCATCTGTTGATGTGAAGGCTTTTTAAAGAACAAGATATTTTCAGAAAGAAGGCAGTCCCAGAAATGCATTGCAACAAGCTCAATATAAAGTGGGATATTTCTAATTAGATATCGCCAACTTCCAACCGTAAATTTTTTTGAGGTATACGCAAACACAGGCGGTCGACACATGCGCTCTAGAGAGCTTTATCTTTGTCCAGCATCTGCTCCATTTTTCTCCAGAAGTGATGACTGATAAAAATGTCTTTGTACTCTTTTAAACTAAAGTTGCAGCTATCTCACAACCCTCTCCCCCAAGCTCTTGTCAATGCGGGTGTCTGTTGTTGTTGCAGTCTCCGCTATTTTGTTGTTGTCCTGTCTCTTTAGTTTAATTTTCTATTGTGAAACAATGGCCCGGGACAGTGTTGCCACCTTGTGGAACAACTAATTAGCGCAAGACCAAGTCAATGCACATGTGCAAACTGTGCGTACAGTACGCGCATACCATTCTGGTGATGAAATTTTCATTATGCGCACTGTACGCGGTAGTGATGCGCGGATGAGCTAAAACGTCACCCGAATCCGCAGCTTCAAATAAATTATCCACCCTCCAAACGACTGCACCTGTATTATTGTCTGATTTAGATACATCGCATTACTCATTCCCGCAGCTTTCGACTTTAAAATGAGGGAAATTACTGCAAAACCTTTATTCAATATAGCGTGTAGGTTAGATGAGTAAATAAATCCACACAAACCATGATGAAAACAGCGTATAGGTGATTCAGCTGTACCGCGTCTTCTCTTTGACTTTCGCGTCACATCGACGCATCTATAGCTGCTGCACGCTGCGATAGAAGACTTTAGCTCGCGTTTCGGGACAGTTGACAGAATTGTCAATTGCCTAATCGGTCATTGTTGCGTCATCACAAAAATCTATTATTTTCTTTTTATTGTCTTTTTAAGCCATTCGGTACTCGCGCTCTCCAGAGGCGCGTGCGCTCACAGTCACATCCAAAGTGCGTACTGCGAGTACCAAATTGAGAAAGTACTGTCGGGTTTGTCTTAAGTTAATGTAAACAGTTGCAAAATAAAACGCATGGGTATCAGTATTGGATCCGTGAAATAGGTCTTGTGACAGCAGCCTAATAAAGCTGTGCCGTCTTTTATTAATGTTAATCAAACAACAAAAGACTTACTGCTCTTGACCTAATAATGTTTTGTTGAATAACTTTTAATGTTAATTTACAGTTTATTGTATTTCTGTAACCTATTTAAAACACCTTCATAATTTAGAAAATGTAGTTAATACTTGCATCATTAATGATTTATTTTATCCACCCACGACCCACCCGCAAATAATCAGAATGCATTTTTTTATTACCCGACCAACCCGATCCGCGTATTATCTGCAGCGCCTGCGGATAAAACCGCCATCCGCGCATCACTAGTGGACCCTTGCGTAAAAACCGAAGTATACTTTGGCCCTTAGAAGGCAGCTCACTGGGTTTTAGAACACTTGGGGCCATTATCGGTCCCCATGCATCTCCCTGCAACAGAGTTTCCTTGATTTAGCCTCAATCCATTTGAAGGATCCATTAAAGGGAAGACCTGAAACTGAAGTGTTTGTGGATGCACACACACTGCTGTTGTGAAGAATGGCACTTAAGATATATATATATATATATATATATATATATATATATATATATATATACACACACACACACAAAAGTATAATATTTTTAATGTGTTTTAAAGAAGACTCATCTGTTCAACAAGGCTGCATTTATTTGAACAAAAATACAGAAAAAAACAGTAATATTGTAAAATATTATTACCATTTAAAATAATGATTTTCTATTTTAATATACTTTAAAATATAATTTATTTTTGTGATGGAAAGCTGAATGTTCAGCATCATTACTCCAGTCTTCAGTGTCACATGATCCTTCAGAAATCATTCTAATATGCTGATTTCTTATCAATGTTGGAAACAGTTGTGATGCTTAATTTTTATTTTTTTGGAACCTGTGACACTTTTTTCAGGATTATTTGATGAATAAAGTTAAAAAGAACAGCATTTATTTAAAATAGAAATATTTTCTAACAATATAAAGTCTTTATTATCACTTTTTAACAATTTAACACATCCTTGCTGAATAAAAGTATTCTTTTCATTTCTTTCAAAAAAAAATTAAAATGACTGCCCCCAAACTTTTGAACTGTAGTGTATACTGTTACAACAGATTTCTATTTTGAAAAAAGTATCACAGGTTCCAAAAATAATATGAAGCAGCAAAACGGTTTCCAACATTGATAATAAACAAAGACTATAAAATACCAAAGACGTGTAACTCGTATAGTTTTGGAAAAATGCAATGCTTAATATGGCCACTCAATCGCAGGAAGCCCCGCCTTCTGAATGAAAGAGCCAATCACTAATTGGTAAAGTCAGCGCGTCACTGCAGCTGAAGTCCCGGTTGCTATAGAAACAGTCAGCGCTCTGAGACATGTGCTCAGGACTGCGCATGCACACCGGCTGATCTAGCCTGAAAAATAAGCTTTTTATAACGTTATTTGAGCAAAATAACATTTATGACACAGTTGTTGTCAGATTTCATTGGTGATTTCAAATATAAAATTTAATCATAAGCTTACTGAAGGGTTTTGGAGCTGCACTTGCATGCCCGAGAGGCATTTCAAAGATGGCCACCGAGTGATATGACTTGCCTTAAAGGGACTTTGTAATAAATCAGCATATTAGAATGATTTCTGAAGGATCACGTGACTCTGAAGACTGGAGTAATGATGCTGATAATTCAGCTTTGATCACAGAAATATATTACATTTGAAACTATATTAAAATAGAAAACCATTATTTTAAATTGCAATAATATTTCACAACATTACTGTTTTTTTTCTGTATTTCTGATCAAATAAATGCAGCCTCGATGAGCAGAGGAGACATTACAAGTCTTACTGATCCCAAACTTTTGAACGGAAGTCTGTATATACAGATTATATATATATATATATATATATATATACACACACACACACACACAAACACTTCGGGGGCCTGTTTCAATAAGGAGGTTCAACCAACTCTTGAGGTAAATCTTGAACTCTGAGTTGACTTACTCTGAGATGGGAAACTCTGAGTTTTCGGGTTCAGAACAGCTGAATTGTGTAAGTTCAGTTGACTCTGAGTTTAGCGCGTACACCACGACTATGAAAAGCCATGATCAATGGAGCTCCGATATTACGATTCACCATGGCAACAGCTCCCGCCAAAAAGATGTCTGCATACTTCAGACTCAATACAAGTTTAATTATTATCACTGTTATAATATCACAGGTGAAAACTGGCAGAATGGTAGGTTATTGAACTAATAGGCTATTAATATTCATGCTATCTCATAGTGGTGGGACAATATATCGATATGGCGATATATCGTTGTCCTTCTTCATGCGATACGAGAATCGATATCTGGCGCCAAATATTGATATTTTACAATACAATACAATACTACAATTTACTACAATATATTACTACAATAAGGCGCTCCATATAGATTTCCCTGCTCCCAGCATCTAAAAAATGTGTGGAAATCGCGGCTGCAACATCTCCACCTTCTTTCCAAAGCGCTCTGAGCAACCATGAACTATCATAGAGTAAGTTACCACGGTAACTGACTCTGACTATAAGTTACCTCTCTTTCAGAAACGGGCTTGACTTACCCTGCTTTCTCGGGTTTGACAAACCTCCCATTCTGAAACGGAAAACCCAGAGTTTCCCTCATTTCAGGGTTAACATACTCAAGAGTTGTCACTTAACCTTCTTTCTGAAACGGGCCCCCAGGTCTTATAAATCTCTAGTCTCTACTTTACTTTTCCAGTAGGAGGCTGTAGGGGTAAAGCAGTGTGCGCGCATGTGCAGTCGCGCACTGGTTCTGTCAACTGTGCAAATATTTGACATATTTACATCTACGAGTAAAACGACACATCACCGTCATTCATTTACACGATCGAAAACCAATGTAAATTCCCCCGATAGACTTCAATGCCGTCTGCTTCGACAAAACTACATGTTTGATGCAAAAACGTATTTAATAATGTGACCGCACATTAAAAG